CAATTTGACAGAGATGCTAACATGACCTGACAAATATTTTAAAGCAACCATGAAAAATGCTTCAACAAGCAATTATAAATATTCTTCAAGCAAATAAAAAAATAGGAAATAGGACAAATAAAGAAAAACCAAAGGGAAATTTTGGAACTGAAAAATATAACTGAAATAAAAAATCTCAGTGGATGAGCTTAACAGCAGAAGGAGAAAACACAGGAGAGAAACAGTGAACTGAAAAATCAAACATTAGAAATGACCCAATCTGAAAAAAGTGAAGAGAGATTCAAAAAACAGTCTCAAGGATCTGTGGGGTTTTTTAAATAAAAAATAAAAAAAGATTCAACGTTCAAGGCAAAGAGAAAAGTAGCAGAGCTAAAAAAAGTACTCAGAGAAATAATGGCTGAAAACATCCCAAACTTCCCAGGAGAAAAAGACCTAAAAATTCAAGAAGCTGAGCAAACCGCGAACAGCATAAACCCAAAGAAATCCATGCCAAGACTTCATAATTAAACGCCTGAAAACTAAAAACAACTTGAAAAAACTTAACACCCATTCTTGATTTTTAAAAAACTCTTAGAAAAATAGAATTTAAAAAAAAATAGAATTTAAAGGCACTTTCTGCTGTATACCAGAAATTGACACATGTAACTGACTATACTTCAATTAAAAAAGAAAAATACACTTTCCTCAACTTGATAAAGACCTTTCTTATGCTCCTTTATGCAAGTCCTATTTATAACTCTCTCCACCTTCATCTTTCCAAAATGTGTTGACATCTTATTTCCTAATGCCCTGTTGTTTTCTTTTTACTGTTTTTGATTTATTTATTTGTAATCCTTTACTATTATTTTAGTAGGATCTGAGGAGAGGGGGACACTGATGGTGCTTAACCCACACTCTTTATCCAGAAGTCCCTTCCCATCCTTTGAATTAACACCTCCCTCTGAGAAGTCTCCTTGCTGATGTTAGACCACAGTAATCTCTCCTTTCTCCTAACTCCTAAATCACTTAACATGTAACTGTCTTCTGTTTCATTTTTATTAGCCTTGGGAGTCCACATCTAGGTTTTAAGCTTTTTAAAGCAATAATGGCTTTTTCTATTTCTCTTTTACCCACTGAATATCCAGTACAGTACTGTGTTCACTATTTGATTGATAAAAATAAGTAGATTAATTTCATGAATTTATATGATCCCATTCCTATTTTCAGCTTTGATATTTTATTAATGTTTTAATGTGATGGATCAATGAACACATTACATCATGGATTTCACAATGCACCACCCTATTGTACATGACAGCTTATGGGAGGTAGATTGGGCTCATGAACTTGCCTTCATATCCAATGAATTTCTCATCCACTTGGATTTCACATCCAAGTCCCAAACTGAAAAGTACACTGCCATCTCCTGGATCAAAGGTAGTAATGCATCCCTTAGAAAAATAAGACTACAGCTCCAAGTAAAAAGCAGATCTATGAAAAGTAATTAATACACAAAAATGAAACTCTTTGCTTTCTTTGTAACAAATGTTAAGGATAATATAATTATAATCATTATTAATCACTAAAGCGTTGAAAATCTTAGTCCTGAATTCAGATTATTTGTAGCTAGTTCAGGTAATCTGTTATAACTCTCTTAAAACTCCTAATTTGGAAAGATACATGCACCCCAATGTTCATAGAGCAGCACTGTTTACAATGGCTAAGACATAGAAGCAACCTAAATGTTTATCAACAGATGACTGGATGAAGAATATGTGGTAAATACACACACACCGACACACACACACACCGACACACACACACACACACACACACACACACACACAATGGAATATTACTGAGCCATAAAAAAGAATGAAATATTGCCATTTGCAGCAACAAGGATGGATCTAGAGGATATCATATTAAGTGAAGTAAATTAGAGAAGGACAAATATTATATGGTATCTCCTATGTGTGGTATCTAAAAAGTAATACAAGTGAATCTGTTTACAAAACAGAAACAGACTCAGACACAGAAAACAAACTTACAGTTAAAAGGGGAAGGCGGGGAATTAGAAGTATGGGATTAACAGATACACACCATTATATATAAAATAGATGAGCAACAAAGATTTACTGTATAATAGGGAATAATATTCAATATCTTATAATAACCTATAATGGAAAAGAATCTGAAAAATTATATATACATATATATAAATTGACTCCCTTTGCTGCACACCTGAAACTAACACAATATTGTAAATCAACTAGACTTCAATAAAAATAAATAACTAAATTTAAAAGGAGAAAAAAAAAACTATCTTCCAGGTTCATCTAGGGAGCCACATTCGCTTATGATTTTCTCTTTTGCTGAATGTCTACCAGGTCTAGATTCAACATTCCCTGGTAGTTAATGTTGTCATGTGGTCAGTTAGTGAAAACTTTGTTCTGCTTTGCTCTAGTGAAAGCAATGACAGATTACGTATGGTGAAAAATGAAGTAGCAAACACCCGTGCAGCCTGACTGCAGCATTTCAGACTGCAGACTGGGGTCTCCACGGTCTACTCGCCCAGTTTTGGCTTTCTGACTGGCTGACTGACTAATTATCCAAATCAAGCTTTCCTGGATGGAAAAAAAAGGTGCTAGGGTGAGCCAAAAGGACAAAGCCAATCCCAGGTGCCCAATGTAACAAACGCAAAACAAACAAACAAAATTAAAGCCAACACTTGAGGACTCATAAGCGTTTTCTGCATTCTTATGTGTTTCTGAAATTTCTTTTTCCTTTGGGAAGATTCTCCCATTGTTCTGGGAAACACAGTTTGGGTTTTAGTCAAGCAGATCTAAAGTAGGTCGTACTCACTCTTTCAGGGAGGTCCCCAAAGCAGGAGTAATCCACGAGCAAGTGCAGAGGCTGCAGGCTGAGAGGCTGAGCCCTCAAATGTAAAGCCCGCCTTGGCGGAGAGCAGTGGCCGGCCGCAGAGGCTTTGAGAAGAGGGTAGCTGGCCTGGGCGGCTGGTAGCGGAGAAGGGACGCCCGTGCAAAGCAGCGGTGGACTCCAGGAGCAGGGACACCTGTTCTCTTTTCTGGCCTGTCATGCTGATGGCATCCTCAAGTACTCGGTAACATTTTGTTAAACTCCACCTTCTAGTATCACCTATGTTTGTGTTACTGAGGGCAAGATCCTGTGCCCAATGCACCATGAGGCCAAAAACACCGCAAGGTCGGAGTGTGGAGCACAGAAAGGTTTATTGCAGGGCCAAGCAAGGCACTTGAGGCAGCTCATGCCCAAGAAAACCCCGAACTCCCTGAAGGGCTTCAGCAAAGCATATTGAAAGGCCAGGTGAGGGAGGGGGCGCAGGGTATGTGATCAGCG